TGCCGAGCGAATGGGCTTAGAGCTCGACCTTTTGGAAGAGAGGTGCACAGACGCACAGCTAAGGCTCACCGCATACCAAGCCAGAATAGCTAGGTACTATAATAGAAAGGTCAAACATAAGCGGTTCAAAGTAGGAGACCTCGTCTTGCGAGTAGTAACCCCAAATACTAAGCCCAAGAATTCTGGGGCACTGGGCCCAACTTGGGAAGGACCTTACAGGATAAAAGAGGTCATGGCTAATGGCTCCTATCGACTTGCAGAAATAAATGGTCGAGACATCAAGCACACATGGAATGCAGACCAGCTGAAGGCGTACTACCAATAACGGCGGAAGACGTCGACCTAAAGGTTACACTTAGAATTTTTAGTCTGTTTTCTGTTGTATTTTTACAGGCTGAAAAGTCGACGTGTAAACTCTACATAAATAAAAGTCTGACTAAATTTTCTACTATTTTGATCTAGTCGTTTGAATTTCATCGCTCGACTTGGCTCTACATAATCAGAGATCTACTGTCTATGTCAACCAATATTGCATCAAAGATAAGTCAAAGGCTATCTTTGATGAAGAGGTAGTAAGGCCACCTCCTCAAAGTTTGTAAAGATGGTAAAGCCCTGGCTTAACTATACTTAACCAAAAATTCTTATTCGACCACAGTAGTCATACGTAAAATGAGCATCTGTATGTATATATATATATATAAGTAGATAATAATAAGTCTCGACCTTATGGCCATTACAGAACTAAAAATTTAATGTCTCGACCTAATGACTGTTGCATAAAAAAAGGGAAGAAAAAAGGTCATCACGGTGCTGCCTCATCCCCCGGTGCCTGCTCCGCACCCTCTGCACCTGGTGCGACCTCGACCACCTCCACCTCCTCATCATCGGACTCATCGAGGAAAGATAAGTCGACCTCTGGGCGCTTCTTCCAGAAGCGGTCTAGAATCTACTCCCCAGCAGACTTCATTAAGGAAAGCTGAAGCTCCTCAAACTTAACAGAGTCTTGGTAAGCCTCGAGCCTCTGGGAAAGAAGATCCTCGAAGGCTTCTGAGGATTTGAATTGCTCCACCCGCTCATTGACTATGTCCCTGAACTCTTGGGACAACTTGAAAACTTCGATCCGAGCGTCAATCGAATGGTGAAACTCCTCAGAGCCTAGGAATTACTCAATGACTTCCTTTCTCTTCTATTGGAAGACAGGTGAGACAAGGTATTCCTTGACCGCCTTAGAGCACCCCTTGTTGAAGCCCTCCTAGAAACTCTCGTGCTTTGCCTTGTCATCCGCCTCCTCCAGAGACTTGACCTTGGCTTTCTCGGTCTCCAAGTCCGAGGAAAGCTCATCCCGAGTAGTGTGCAGAGCTAAGATCTCCTCCTCCGCGGCCCTCAACAGAATGTCATGCATGTACAGAGTGTCAAACTCCATATAGTTCAGGAGCATAGCTTTGAGAGCCTATACCACAAAAAAGAAAGGGCATGGATAAGAAATCACAGGTTAACTACGTGAGAATGGGGGTCGAGAAGTGAGCAAACAAAACCTACCGAGAGTTGGTGGATCACCGTTATGTGATGGCGATCCAGAAGGTCCATCCCTGTAAATTTGTCCTAGGAGTCTGCATCAAAGTGCGTATAGATGGCTTGGATGGGAAGGCTGAAGTGATAGGGGAGGCGAAAAGCCCAGTTCAGGTCTTGGTCAACCACGTTCGGGATGAGGAATTGAGGCCGGCATCACAAGGGGTCCCTCAGGCGTAGAGGGAACCTCCAGGTTCACGGTGACCTCGGTGCCTTTTCCCTTGTCCAGGCGTCGAGACGCCTGAGAGGACCTTTCAACTGATGAGGGGCCTTGTGGCTCCTCCATCCTAGGCCGCTTGGGGGCAGGGCCAATGACGAGCTTTCCCCGGACGGGGACCCCAGTGGTGCTCGGGGTGGGAGTGGCATGTGCCTCTGGTTGACTCGACGACTTGGAAGAGTCCCCTCCTCCTCTCTTCCACAACTTCGGAGGGACAATGAACCTTATGGTGGATGGCACAGCTACACAAAAAAAATGTCAGATCCAAGAGTTAGGTTTAGCTAAGAGATGAGGGGAAGTAAGTTCCAGCTTCCCTCTGAGGAGATCCACCGGGGGTATTGAAAATGGTAGAGCTTCAGCTGGACTCAGAAAAGGACAACATCTCCTCGACCCATGCTAGGGCAATTGAAGAAAGCTTCGGTCGAGCGCAGACTTCACCTACAGGAAAGAGCAACGCATGTAAGATAGTCAACAAATGGAAGGATGTCACGAAATTCAATGGAAAGGAGACCTACAGTATTTGTTGAATATTATATGCGTCCTTAGGGGACACTCGCCATTGAGCGGGTGAGAATTAAAGTTACCACCCAAAAAAAAAAGAATGGGAGCTTCCACCCGTGGTAACTCGAGGTCTTCTCGACCATGACAGGTGGGCCTAGAGGTTTGGACTTGGAGTGGGCGCCTAAGTACAAAAAACCCCTCTAACCAAGGGAGGCCCTAAGGGCATAACAGTACAAAAATTCCTCGACAGTAATGTCGAGGTTCAAAAATTTTCTCCATAAAATAATCATGGAGTTAATTGTCACCTAGTAATTGGGTGACAGTTGTGCAGGAGAAATCCTATGGATGCCACAGAGGGCCTTCACAAAAGGATGAAAGGGCAGGGTCTGCCCAAAACTAAGGGAACGCGTGTACATAGTCATATGTTTGGCAGGGGGGTTGTGGGCCCTATCGTTAGGGGTCGGGATAATCAGGTAAAAATTGTTGGCATCGATCCCCGCATCATTGAAAGCCCTCATGGTAACCCGGGGATTGATCTTCGACGGGTTGACGTCTGTAACCATCCTCGAAACGCCACTGGTCGATGCCACCCCCTAATGGCATTCCTCGATAGGGCCGATCCTCAAGCCATCATCTTCATCGTCAAGGAGAATCAGCTCGTCTGGCTGAGCGGTCGAGACCGACCCCTCGGCGTACTCTTCCACCTAGCAAAGTAAAGAGTCTACGCTTTCGTCCGAAGACGTGCTCGATGATGTAGCTTCCTCAGGGTCGTCCCTAACCCTGGAGGTTGAGACCTCTCGACCTCTAACTTGTTTGGGCGGCATGATCTGAAAATGAGCATAGAAGGGGTCGAGGTAAGTACCTAGTGGTTGAGAGGCCAAAAACAGGAGTCAAGAAAAGAGAGGGGTAAGTTCAGATCAAAGGAGCCCCAGAATCTGGAACCCAACGCAAAGACACAAAACGCGTGCCAAGGTCCCCAGGGCCAGGAACGAGCCTGAGGGTTCCCAGCAAGAGCCAGTTTCACAACCAGGTAAGCGTACTCTTCCTGTTGACATATTGCTTTTTCCTTTACGAGTATTGGTTCCAGAGTTACGCAGGAAAAATAGAAAGGACGAAGCCACTTACCAGTCCCTGAGATGATCTGAAGACCGGATAGTCAGAGAACCACGAATGGGAAATGTGCGCAGAGGTTGAAGCACGAGGTGGAAACTCCTGGAGGAAATCCGGTAAAGTAACGACGTTTTGGGAAAAGGCCAATGTTAAAACTGTGTCAGGGGGTATATATATACACCCCAAGGGGAACCCACGAGGCTCAGGGAAGTCCTAACGATGCCAGATCTCGACTGTCGAATTCAAACCGACCTCATCCAACGGTGAATCCGTAAAGACGTGATCCAACGGCTGGATCAGAGTGGGAGAAATAAATCTGATCGGATGGCTATAGCTTCCCCCTCGACTATCACGTATCATTAGGGTACAAGGGACGTGACCATTGACACGATCGACGACACTGCTTCACTGCCCGAGAAACTCACTGTAATGATGGCACTGTACCTACAAGCAGCCGCCACAGCCTGAAGGAGATGAGTTGCCATGTGGAACTCTCGACGTCATATAGCCTAGAACGTCACAACGTGATATCCCAGTCTAGGGGTAATTGTTACACCACGGTCGAGGAATT